TAGCAATAAGCGCTGGTTGAGGTGGTAGGATTTTCTCATATGGTCGTTAGGGATAGTGAAAGATTAAGATTTCCATTCTCACTTTCATTTGAAATAGTTATGAACTGTGAACTAAACAAAAAAAAAACTTTTATTCCCCTTTGCCTTGAATCATAAAACCCGGCCATCCTTGTAGTTTCAGCTTTGTGATCAGGAATCTAACTCAAAGTTTGGTTAAACTTTCTATCGCGTGAAGAAGTTGAACAAATCAAACATAACATCTTCCTAGCATATCCAAAACTGTTCAGGTCTTTGACCCATAGAGCACGGAATCCTTCCTGAATCTTAAATGTAGATGGAAAACGGTAAATCATAATCACCGTAACCTTTAGATATAAAAGCGTGAAATAAACCTGATAAAACCTAGTTGTGAAATAACAACGAAGACCAGGGGAAGCAGTTCCCATAAAATGACAAGGTATAAGGTATCGCCCAACACATTACGGTTTACTGCCGTCCAGGAGGTCCGGGATATTGAAATCCAGTGTCCACAAACCCGTAAACTCCGGCCGACTTTACGATCTTCCAATGGACTGGACTTGAATACCACTGAATGGACTTTGAGGCACAGTATCTGTTTTATTAGGGGAAACACAGCTAAACAGCTTCGGTAGAAACATTTAAGACATGACAAAGTGCTTCCTCGCATCGTAAAAGATAATAAGAATCGTTTGTTTGGGTTAGCGTGTTTAGTTCAAAGTTTTGGGTGCTTGAGTTTGGGTGACTATTATTATCGTACCCCGAAACAAACCATGCACTCTGTATAGGCCTATGTTGAAATAAGTCCTTATATGTACAAAATGCGTAAACGAAAAATAGTTGGGCCATTTTATTCCACCATTACGTTACACCACATTATTTTACAGGTATTAATTACCTCAACTAATTTTCATGCTTTCACTTCAACACTTTATTCCTGAGGTTATATGTTGGGTTTGTTAGGTCAGTAAGAGAGCCATATGCAATTAATTCATTACAATTCATCATGTGTCTCCATCAAACTACTTAATGTAATAACTAATTCCTTGATGACGTATTTATACTATTAACACTAAAATGATTCATAAGACTAAAGAAAAAGTTAAAAGCTTCAACTAAAACATTTTAGCACCACTAAAGCATAAAAATACGTGGGGATGGTATAAAAAAAGACAGTTGCATTTGAAAGGTAAACCGCAGACGAAAGGAAAGGAGGATCGCATATGACAAGGACTATGTGAAGTGACATTCCTTCAATGTGAAGACGGAATGCAAGAGACGGTTGAAGACTTATCGTGTTTGTGATAAACTCGACGTGGAGGCATCCAGCATCAGCATGACAGCATGAGAATCCAGCGTCAAGCATCAGTAGGAATCTGAACTAGATCTGCTGGCCTTGGTCCGTGATCGCTGGGAATCTTCTGGTCTGCAACATTCCCTCGTTTTGAAATCGACTTGGCATTGGCGAAATTCAATGATTGAAGGGTCTACGTTTCTTCATCCTTGTTTATTTTATAGCTGATGCCAAGGTTCCAGTGATCTGGCTATGAATTAGTGCGAACTCGATGACTCGAATGGAGAGTGTGTCAGAGCAATGTCATCCGTTAGGGGAATGATTTCGAGAAGTTAGAAAAAATTTTAAGCGATCAACTATTCACGTAAAACTTAAGAAATAGGCTTCAAAGTAGCAAGAGAAGCGAGCATAAAAGAAAATTATTATTTTTGGATAAATATATGAGAGTAATGTTTTAAATGAATTCCACTTTCAGTTGAAAATATTTTTTCAAGAAAAGGTCGTATAGAAAGAAACAGAGAGAGGCCACGATACCTCAGTTTTAAAAAGGCCGCCGCAAACATTAAACCGCAGATAAACTCCGACCCGGTGGCAGAGAGTCAAAACGGTTCACGACATTAACCGAATTAACATAAACCGAGAATCGTAAAGAGGCCGGGGACCCTTCACCAATCTAAATTCGAGCATGGGAATTCAGTTTCGCAAGCAGTTATTATTCCGGACGAGAACGAGAACGAACACCTTTCGATCGGGTCTAAAGTTCAAAGAACCGGTTCACTTTAAAATGAGTCATTGCCGGATGATTGATTCTACCAGTCGCAGTTCGCCCATAGCGCACACGCTCGCACCTACAACGCCGACTCCTCGCTAATTTGATTAGCACTATCTGTAACACTTTCACCTGTTAATTGGTTGACCGGGTTTATTTACGTCGTCCGATTTCACCCGTTAATGGCCCGGGTCAAACACGGATCATTTTTCGGGCGTTGTTTATGTCGGGCTCGAGGTGCGTTAGGTAATGCGATCCTGCAAGGAGTTGTGAGTTGCGGTATAAATCCCGGAGTGATACTGCGTGAGAACCGGAGTTGATCAACAGGCTAGATGTGAAGGCTTGTTAGGGTAGACTTGATAAAATATGGATATGTGCTCTATGGAAGTCGATCATTAGTCAAAATTCAGATTTTGTACGTGCATAACTAGAACTGCAACATTTAGCTGTTGAAAAATTAGAATTTTGGCAATGTTATACACATGAACTTACTATACAAACTGTGCTACAGCATTTCTTTCGTCAAATGCTGCACTCTAAGATTGTTTGGATGGGGACGCCACTTAGGTGCGTGTTTTAACCCAAATATGAGCGAAGGATGAGTGTATAAGATGATCAGCTATTTCATTAGTCTGGATCATTTATTGATCAGGGACAATGATAAGTGGTCACAACAACTTCGCCTCTCGCAGCTGAATCCAATAACCATTCTCCGCTCAAAACCACCAAAGTGCTAAAAAATCATAAATTAGTAACAGAAGTGTGAGGAAATACGTTAATTGCCCGAAACTAGGTATAGTGTGTATTATGGAACCTGTCCCTTGACCCTCAGTCTACTGGAACTTTCCTGGGTCTTAGACCATTGGCCCGTCCCCAGCTAGACGAAGGACGTTGGTTTAGGAGAGAGGTTCCATCATACAGACCATAATACAGATACGATACCTATCAGAGTTAAAACTAAACTCAGATGTTCAAAGTCTTGAGTCTTGAATCATCCTTCAAAAGCAATCGTCTTTAAAGCTCCCCAAACCTCACTGTCTCTACTCCAGTTTCATTTGACCCTCTGCGACGACCTCCGCCGTCTCAAGTATGTCACCCACTACTTGCCATTCCCCACGGCGTTGTGACGCAAGTTGGCACGCGGCTTGCGCCACTCGTATCGTCCATCTGCCTTGCATAATGTAGCGCATCGTCCATACTAACTGGCCACCTCCACTGCCACTGTTATCTGGATCACCCTGTATGTGCTCTTGTAGCGTTACTTTGAAGTCTTAGAACGTGTTTATACTTTTAGATATTCATGATAAATACTCTGTTTGTCAGTTAGTGGATGTAGTATGAAAGAATCCCATCGAGGTTTGACACATACAACACGAACTGAAAATATGACTTAGCGTATAGGACTGTGAATTAATTAAAGATGTGTATTCAAAAATTGTATACGAATTAGTTATTCGCGATACGTTTTACGCTTAATGTTTGCAAGGCATATATGGACATTACAAGTAAAGAATTAACTTTTAAGACATGAAAGTATTATATATGAGCTTATTAACGATACAAAAATGTCAAGTCAATTTTCCCTCATTCGTAGGGGGTAAATCAATGTTGATGGTAACAAACACCTCACAAACAGGTGATAAACAACGAGTCAAATTTATAGCCAAATAAGGCACTATCCGACTATTAGCTCACCCGCTCACTTTGCTTTATTCCATCACAAATCACGAAACGAAAACCCGCCTCGTAAAACACGGGTATCACTTTTCAAAACGATTAAACCCGTTCCGTTTTCTTCATTGGCATTCTCCGCCGTCCGAGCAGTAAGTCAGGGCCGTCATCGGAACGTCTTCAGTTTCCATAAAAGCGGGAGCGGTGACATACTGTGCTCACGAGTGACATACTTTCCGGACGACATTAACATACATTACGGCCAACTACGGACCGCGATTGTTTACCGAACTGCCTTCCACTTCCACTGCCTTGCGGTATCGGTAGTAAATCTTCGCTGTCACGGAGAAACTCAAATTTGTATCCGAGACTTACAAGTACACGTCCCGTGGAAAGTCGCATGACCTCGAGGGTCGCTTCGGATTCATTTGTCTACTCGCTTCCCGTGTTTATGGAAAACTGGAAACTCTCTTCGACGTCTCGGGCCTATTAGAGAACGTGTCTTGACGAAGCCAGATTTGGATATTCCTTTGGAAGATTCCTCTTTGGAAGAAACTCAGGAGAAAATTGAACATTCGATGCGATTCTTAGTTCTTGAGCTTATATTTTGACGATATGATACTAAATTTAGAACAAATTTTTTAGACGCTTCCTATAGGAATATCCAGTTCCAGGAATATATAGTTTTCGCCTTTAGGAATATCCTTTAGTAAACTGGACACTCGTACACACCAATTGACGATGTTACGTAACCAAAGGCAGAATACGCTTACAGTACAAGTTGAGTTAATACAACATAAATGTCGCTCAACTCCGTGACATTGTAGGATGCTGGTGATCAGCTGTATAGGTCAGCAGTCAACAGTCAGCAGTCACCGATTATCACCCACTACCCACTACCAGCAGAGCCACGCTCCCACGCCCGGCACTGAGCCAGCTCGTGGACAATGTGTTCATAATAGCGTTGTTCTACTCAGAAACCGGTTGTACCCATGTGCTTCCATTTACTGCTCTTCATAGCTCTGATTGGCGCAATCTAGGTCATCTTCACTGCCAACGCTGCAATATTGACTTGTTACGAGCCTACGTAATTGACCGCGTGAAGTGGTTGGTCTTGTGTTGTGGATAAAATGTGTAAGAAAAAGGTTTAATATTGAACATTTACATAGATAGTTCTTACAAAACAAGGTAGGACTTTGGTGTCTTTAGATGATTGTTAAAGACTAATAAGTTTTTTGTTTGTTTCAGTCTTTCTTCGGGAGGACCTACAACAATTTGAGCTCCATATCAGAGTGCAAGAATAATGGCGAGTGCGTCATCAACAAGAAGAATCGTACTTCCTGCAAGGCATGTCGCCTTAGAAAATGCCTCCAAGTGGGGATGTCCAAGAGTGGCTCACGCTACGGAAGGAGATCCAACTGGTTCAAGATCCACTGTCTTCTTCAGGAGCAAAGCTCTTCAGGTGTGAGCCCTAACCAAGCTCTGCTGGGGAGCAACGGCAGTGGGTTATACCCAGGACTGTTACACCATAGCCAGTTTCTCTCGTCAGAAAACTTCCTGCAGGCGAGAATCAATGGGTATCCACCACAGTACAGTCAAAAGGACGATAAAAAGGAGGACAACAGACATTCGTCTACAGACGACTCGGGCGGCTCTTCGATGGAAGATGTCGAAGAAGACGCATCATCGAGATCGGCGAGTGCTTTGAGTTTTATGAGACCACCTTCTTCACACAAGACTCCTTCACCGTTTAGTGAAAAAGAATCTCCCAGTATAAAAAGTCACAAACTTCCCTGCCCTCTCCCGTCGTCACCTCTTGGGTTGGCGACGTACCCAGCGTTCCCGTCTCCCCTGAATGCGGGACTCTTATCTATTCCTTACCTAACGGCACAAGTTAGACACCCCTACCCATTTGCTGCTACTCGACCAGGTCTGACCCCGACCACTGGCCATCCCATCCAGCTTGACCATACCCCTCCTCCCCCCTGGCCACACAGAACAGGTGGTGATCTCCTCCTCTACAGCCCGGCTCCAGGAGGCATTCCACATGAGCAGGAGGAACCTATAGACTTATCTGTGAAATCAGCCGCTTCTACACCCGCTCTAACACCACCCTCAGCATCTCCTGACCACAAGAGTCATCACGAGGACGAAGAAGAAACAGGGAAAGAGGGAAGGACAACACCCTTGGATTTGACGAAAAGATCACCGGAGCTTGCGATGGAACTACCAAGAGAAAACTATGTTAGTTAGGTATAAATTTGGTAGTGCGAATCGTTATCGGAGATTATCGAAGAAGGACTTTTAAACATCAATGAATTTCATTAATTTATTCAACGATAAATCAAAGTTCAGATAGTATCTTTGTGTTACTGAACTTTTAGTTCACAAGTATTTGAGTTGTCAAGAATGCATATTCAGTATATTTCCACAGCCATGCTACTTAGTAAACTCTTCTAATTACATAATTTATTTCAACTAGTGATAGAAACGAATATATTGTTATCCTATAGCATATGAACCCCGTATACGTACACAACACTCTGAAGATCTCTGACAATCAGTTTTGCAATAATCAGTTTTCATCGCCGAGCCCAAACGGCCGAACCGGTTGGATGTCAAAGATATGAAAATTTTACGAGAACCGGGTTGTGCGGAGATTCCACAAAACACATACCATCAATCGAATCTCGGTCGACCCAACTAGGTGTTGTAACAGGACGACCTGTGACCTCTGACACAAACAAATGCCAAAGGCTGCGTAGAAAGTATCTCACAGGTGGAAGAGTGGGGCTTCGGCAACCTCCACCTCCATAACGCATGCACCCCTTCGCGACCGGCTGAATTATTTATAAGCCGTGAAGTAGGTGAATTAGATGAATTCCGAATGAAATTGTAATTTTCATATTACGTTCCTTCTTCGCAAACGCTACCGTGATTAATTTCTCAATGTGACATCCATCGCATAAAATTTATCATTCATTATAGGATAAAACTGGACGATACCCAACATAGAACGTATCAGTTCACCTTTACTTAGGTGCTAAAGTAATTATTAAATACGTCAAGGTTTACATGTGTTGCGTCTACTCCACCTCCAATAATTGCTTTTCCAATATCGATAACCAAATGGCTGTCTTTTCCAGTTTATAATAAACCTTCGTGTTACCACGTTTTCTATTCCGCACTAACGTAAGTACCTCTAATAGAATATCGGTTTTCCAATTACACCGGTGTACACGGTGTATATCGGGCGGTGCGGTACCGCGGGTGTAAAGGTCAATGAAGCAGTCTTCACGTTGCGTTTACCGTTGTCTCGACCGCTTTAATTACAACTGATCGACAATCATATCGTTCCCACATGCGGTCCGATACGGTTTTATTACCGCGATTCCCACAGAAACGAAAGTAAAATCGAAGACGGTTCGCGTGGGTGTGGAAAACGTATCGGAACATTGTGGGATCAGCCAGAGGCGGGAGATGACTGCGGAGAAATGCTTACGAGTCCCTCCCACCGACTTTCTCCGGTAAAGCACACACACGTTTCTCCGCAATAAATTAAAAGACCGCGCGCCGACTGCGTCACTTTCTTCTGTTCGCACGGTGCGCGATGTAATTGTGAGTGATGCCGAACGGTAACGTCATGACCGGCGAGTGGTGACAAATCGACCGCAGCGCTATCTATCACACGCGCTAATTATCTGATGCACCACTCTGGCGGATGTTGCGGGAACTTGTTAACATCGCTACCGGACGGAGGCCGAGCCCTAGGCTAGTGGTCTAGTGTCGGCGATTTGTCATCGGGCCTCGGCGAACATTCGTTACGCGATACACACAAGAGGGACACTTACGGAAAACACATTTAGCCACTTGTTGAAGTTGAAAATTACTAGAGATACTATTTACTTAGTGTTAATTTATATTGGGTACTTTTGAGAAATATCTATTCCAGCACGTGATACTAGTATGTTAAATACGTTAAATATCACTCACAATATTTCAAATAACTCTAAAAAACGTGGAGAATCAAATTTATTTCAATTCCCCTTCACCACAACTATTTATGTGAGATTCACTTCCACTTAACAACCTATTCTTGGGCGACCTTGCGTTGAATGTTGAATGTTGAGTCGTTGAGTCAGCGTGTCGTGCACTGTGCTGATGATGCTGCAATCAGGAAACCGCCGGGTCGCGTATATCAACAGCTGATGCGTCACCTGTGCCGACGTTGATCAGCTGATCAGCTGATCTGACGAAACAGCTGTGGCATCTCATTGTTTTATAAAATGCGAAAGTAACTAACACTGGAAAATAATTCAAGGTGCTATTATTTTACCTTGTTTACAGTTAGTATCATTATATGCCAATTACGTTGAAAAACATAGAAATGTATGGAACTTTGGCCCTCTCATTGCACACTGGGATTGTACAAGCTGTAAAAATACAATTTTGCATAAATTAATCAGTTTCGAGATCTCAATTTTATTGTTAACCTATTTTACAGAACTAATCTAAATATTTTAAGATATTGAAACCCTTTTGAATGTTTTGTTTCACGATATTGATTAATTATTATTAATCTTTAAGTACAAATATTTTATTTGTATTTTACATAGTAGCATGGCTGTGAGAAATCAATTATACGCTATGAAAGAATTTGTGATTAGATTATAGTTATATAAATTCAATAATTGTGGAAATACCGGAATACCTTGAAATATGTGCTAAATGAATAATAATGTATACAAGGTACTATGTAACTTTTGTAAGCGTTATTATTTGTTAGTTTTAAATACTGTAATGGATATATCACTTGTAAGACGACATTTGACTGAAGTTGCAATATAAAACTTGCTCAGTGTATCCTTGTAAAGTCTGTATGATGGGACCTGTCTCCTGACCTTAGTGGTAACTGGTTTAAGCAAAACCCTCAGGTCAGAAGACAAATTTTATCATACAGACTATAGTGGTTATTAAAATCCGATACAAGGTTCTAAGTTGTCCTGTACATTTTGTACTGAGTACAGTACAGACATTGCTCTGTTAAACATTGATTTTCTAAGAGCTCATGGCGAATCGTAAACATTTTGTACCAGAAAACATAACACAAATGTTTTCACTATGGTTGGACATTTTGTAAAACAATTATTAGCTTTACAATACTACGTGTGTTTGTACATAAGTGTGAATAATCTGTAGTCAATGCCCTGTATGTATAGCGATGTTATTTATTTTACTTTAAGACTGTACACTTTAAGGCCAGTTCCAGTCATTTTTGTTTGCTTTGTTGTTATCATGTGTGCTTTGCGTCAGTTAAATGTGTATTTTGTATAGATATTTAACAAATAACATACGATTTCAAATAGATTCCTGACTTTATTTATTTGCCTTTTCTTAAAGTTGTAGCCTAAGTAGTCCGTGAAGAATTATTTGGATAACGAATTGCTCACAATATTGATGGCTTAGACAGCATTTAAGATTCATTTTAACAACAAGCTGAATTCAAAGATGATAAATAATTATTTGGATACATATTTTTCCCGTCGCAAAATTCCTTTAAAAATTAAGTCTGCCATTGATGGTGAAACTGTGAGGGCAAAATACTCTGATTCATCTCAGTTTCAAAAAAGTACAAACAAATGATTTTGTTGATATTAAACTGTTATTCAATGTCTAATGATGGATTTAAATGAACAAATTACTCATTATCAAAATAAATTAACACATTTGCATAATAATACAATAATTCGAAGGTAACTCTACAAGTAAAAGCTTTGAGTCACATGTGGTGTGCATAAGCAAGATCTGTCGTTCAGAAATGTGACAATTTAATCGATCACATTACTGCAAAAACACTCCGAACACTTCAATTTGCAAATTTTATTTCCTGTGCTATGCCCAACTTTTAGGTTGGTTTGAAATGTATATCTATATAATTGATACACCACTATATAATTAATCAACCAGTTTATTTAGGCTAAATGGATTTTAAATAAGCTATGTTCATAACTGTAGCCTGATTGATGTAGGTCACACTCCGCACTTTGTATATCTAAATGCAACAAATTTAATTCATTGTGAACTCATTTATGATACTCTTACCAGCCGAATTGCTGTCTGAAACAACCAAAATCTTTGAAAATTAAAAGGTCATTACATTATTTAAACGCATAATTTACGCATGTGTCACCTCGTAACTCATTAAATCTTCAACATTCATTTTAAAACACCAATCACTCTGTGTGTCATATCCACAGTGATGCTGTAACATTCTGGAACACCCTGTACCAGTGTACCAGTTAGTATAGCACGTGTTGCCGCATAGTTTGGCGATTAGTATCTCGCCGTTGATACATTTTTGATTGGCTGTTGCTCTGGTTTCAACAAGCCAAGCGTGTTAAACTAGGCTGATGTGATTTTAAATAGCGTCTGCTTCCTGCTGAAACGTCTTGTCAGCATCACTGGTCCTATGTCGAATAAACGGGGTGGAAGATCAAGAATACCATGGATTGGTAGTTGAGGTGATATGTAGACAAAGCAATCCATCACTGATGAATATTACATCCATTGATACAATCATATACAAATATGAGGAAAACAGAAAGTGATGTTTAGATAGTCAATAATGCATATTTTATATTCAAATCCATACATAAGCTAGGATGTTTTTTTTCTTTCATCCCAAAAGGGACCCAAATTTCACGTAATAACACTTAACCTCATAGATAAATATGCAACAATGCATATCAGCTGATAGACAATTGAGTAGAGAAAATAGGAATACCACATTATGAGCCTTTTGACATTCGAGCTTTTTTGTCGTCAATGTGTCTCACAATAGTTGCATTTTGGGGAGTGTTAAGAAACGCCCATGCATATTCATAGAGCTAGGTAGTATAGAGCAGGTAGTTAAAATGAATAATTTTACTATTTGAAAACTAAAATTCAATCAAATTTGACTTGTTCAGAAAAATTTTATTCCATAACATTAATGTTTGTGTTTTAACATTTTTGGAATTATTATAATTGTTTGTAGGAACACTGCCCACACTACGATTTCACAATATAACGTCGATATTTTGTTGGCATCATTAATGCCTAGTGTGATTAATTAAATGCAATTTTTTACGATTAAGGTGTCATTTTAAAGCTTGTGATCTAGCAGAGGTACGAATGTGAAATGGTTATGAAAATAGATTTTAAAAAGGCAAACTTTTACGATTAAGGTGTCATTTTAAAGCTTGTGATCTAGCAGAGGTACGAATGTGAAATGGTTATGAAAATAGATTTTAAAAAGGCAATTTTTTACGATTAAGGTGTCATTTTAAAGCTTGTGATCTAGCAGAGGTACGAATGTGAAATGGTTATGAAAATAGATTTTAAAAAGGCAATTTTTTACGATTAAGGTGTCATTTTAAAGCTTGTGATCTAGCAGAGGTACGAATGTGAAATGGTTATGAAAATAGATTTTAAAAAGGCAATTTTTTACGATTAAGGTGTCATTTTAAAGCTTGTGATCTAGCAGAGGTACGAATGTGAAATGGTTATGAAAATAGATTTTAAAAAGGCTATTTTTAATGATGACCTGATGAGTTGGATTAATTACTCTTTATAGGGTGTACCTAAAATCAAAGAATATTACTTATTGACAGGTTGTAGTATTTTTCACCTAATAACTGCATTAAAAACAAAATTCATGAAGTATATTGGTTTTCAATTCGTTTCACTTCGAAAAAGTTTTAAAAATTAGATTTTTTATACTGGTTAGCGCTCCGACTTTGGGATGGGGGGCTGGTACGATACCTGGCATATACATGATTGCCGTTTTAATTGGCCATTTTCCCAGAAATTGTTCTTTTTGACTTTTTTGTGTTCCTTTGCTAAGAGATAGATCTTTCATACAAAACACCAATTTTGCACCTCCAATGGAAAAA